ATAATAAGCCAATCCTTCAGTTAAATATCTTGACTTTCAGCAAAACTATGTTTTCATCAGTATGATAAACTGTTTGAATAACAGCATACCTGTATTAACGGCTTCCTTGGCGAGTTGAACAGCGATTTTCGATAAAGAAGATATCTTTTCAGCAGTCTTGATGGCTTCAGTAACAAGGTCTTCCGCGGGAAAGACTTTGCTAACCAGACCTAAATGTTAAAAGGAATCACATACAAGTTAAATTAGTCGATCTTATGAGCAATTTTTGTCGTAAACAAACCAGTGTTACTGAAAGAGTAGCTATGGTAAGGCAATTTTACACCTTTTGTTCGTAAGTAAACTGCAGCGTGAACCAACTGCCGTCGATCAAATGTCGGCCGACTGTCGGTTTTTTTTTTTTTTGCCGACAATCGGCCGACAGTCGGCCGACAGACGGGCAACAGCCGGCCGACTGTTGGCCGACAATATCTTTTGGGAACTGTTCTTCACTTTTAGCCCAATTTTTGTTAACGCACATTTTCGTAACACTCTCCAAAGGAAATGAGTTCAAAAAGTCTTCGCTTGGAACATATGTTGAATAACTGCATCAGCAAGGTTTGAATTCAATACCTATACAATACAATATGACTACATGTGTATATCAAAGAGAATTGGAACCTGATTTGTGAGCATCTTCTGCTGAAATAGGATCCCCAGTTAAAATCATCTCCATAGCGAGTGATTTACCCACAGCCCTTGGGAGACGTTGAGTTCCACCAGCACCTAAAATATAAAGTCCAGGTTAACTTCATAACTTAGACATTTTTCACACCGATCACAATAATCACAATTTCTATTTGGGCCCAAAAGAAAATAACAGTTATAGGAAGTAAAATTATGCCAGGCTCAAGATAGGAGTTGGTTCTCTTGATTTTTCCTGAGTAAAGCATGACTGAAGTTGTCATGCCAGACACACAAAGCTGTCAATATTACAGCCATATTAAAAATAAACTGAGGGTTTTTTTCTGGAGGTCTCTTTGCCCTGTCCCCTAAATTGTTGTAATTAATAAATACTTATTTATCAATGCAAATAAATAATAAAGATGATGATGATGAGGAGGAGGAGGAGGAGGAGGAGGAGAAGGAGGAGGAGGAAGTACAGTAATGACTAGCCTGTTCATAGACATCTATCCTCTCCAAGTTTCTTTCACTTTTGCGACTAAATCAATGCCATTACCAGTCATGATCACTGGCACTTACTTGTGCCTGTAGTGTACTGGTCAGCGGTACTTAGTTATTACCACACAGCAGATCCAGGTCTTGTCAGCCATTAATCAGTCCCCTTCTTTAAATTTGTGGCTTGACCATTAAAATACTGGCACTAAAATAAGTGTATATCTAGAATGACAGGCACATAGTGTATACGAAAGGCTACCTCTATGTGACACAGGGCACAGTGTTAATGCTTATAATGCTAAACACATCTTGTAGGCAAGCAAGGCATGCAAAGGGACTAACATATGATGCATGCAATGGGTATGGCTACACAGTACTATGCATGTAAATGTCGACTACAACAAATTTGCTACTTTACATATATTTAGTTAATTAGAGATTCATTTGTGGGTCCAACCTGGAATAGTACCAAGCAGAATCTCTGGCTGGCCAAACTTTGCTTTGTTTCCTGCATAAATGATATCACACATCATGGCCAATTCACAGCCTCCTCCAAGCTATAGAACAAAAGTTTTGAGTTTTGAGTTTGAGTTTGCGTTGAAGTTTGAGTTTAAATGTTGAATTATTATCTTAAGCCTCAACAGCTTTATTGCATTTCAAATAGGTAAATTAACAAGTACCCTAAATCAATCGATGAATTCATAAATAAATATATTACTTTATCAAACAATCAACCATCAAAGTACTTTTTTTTTTTTTTTTACTTACATTACATATTTACAGTAACAAAATTATAAATATTTTCAGTCTTACAGCAAATCCATTGACGGCAGCAATGACAGGCTTCTTGCATCTAGCCACGCAGGTCCAGTGACTGAGGAAATCTCCCAACAGGCACTTCTGGAATGTTAAGTTCTGCATCTCCTTGATATCAGCCCCAGCTGCAAGAGCAAAACTTTGACATTAAATCCTTTAAAATCCTTTATAAATAGTTGTACCTAGATGGCCAAAATATGTGCACTGTAAAGAAAGTTACCATTAAATTTAAGCACATGAAGCCAGCAAATGCACGCGTGAAATGACTTTCTTGTTCATATAGAGTGGTTACCAGGCTCTTTTTCAATTCATCATCTTAATCCTCATTTAAACATGGTTTAAAAATCAGTCAGCTTAAAAACCTAATTTATTGAATTCCTAAATATTAGACATTATGTCTAATGTAATGGGAATTATTAGGTTTTATAAGTCTTAAAGAGGGGGTGTCTACATAGCAGTGTCCTTTAGCAAAGATTTGCCTGTATTACTTACCAGCAAAAGCTTTTTCACTTCCTGTGATTACAATGGCTCCAACAGCCTTGTCAGTTTCAAAGTCATCAAGGGCATCCTGTAACTCGGACATCAGTTGATCACACAATGCATTCAGTGCCTTGGGTCGGTTAAGCTGGATGAAGCCAACATTTTGTTTCTCTCCCTTCTTTTCAGCCTTGATCATCTCAAAATTTCTTGATGCTGCATTACAAAGTTTGCTTTTTAACAAAAAGGGCTGCAAGCTTTATTAGGGTAGTCATCATCCT